CCTCCTTGCTGGAGGAAGGAGGACAGCCACATGGGCTTCTGGGCCGTTTGGCTGTGAGAGGCACCGGAGGCTCCAGGCAGGCGAGCAGGCGTCCGCGCAGATGGAAACTTGATTACCCACAGCTCAACAGATTGTTTGACTTATTTTAAAATCAAGCAGATGGCTGCAACAGGAGTTTGTTTAAGTTCAGCGCTGAACTGGGCCAGTGGCCAGTGTTCCCGGGGCAGGCCTGCCTGCCAAAAGGACTTGGGTCATCAACAAACCACCTCTCTCTCTCTCTTTCTCCCCCTCCCCTGTGTTAAACACACACACACACACACACACACGCTCCTCCCCCTCTCTTTCCCGTGGTTCTTCCCTTCTTCACTCCCCGTGTTTCAACGTTTGGCTCTTTCCGGGCGAAGCCTCTTCTTTTCCTTTCACAGAACATAGAACAATGGGGTTGGGAAGGGGACAATTGAAGGTCTTCTAGTCCAACCCCCTGTTTCCCTTCCCCCTCCCTTTTTTTTGTGTGTGTGTTTGCTTTCAGTTCTTGGATGAGGAGTCTTCGAAGAAAAACAAAGGCCAATTGACTTTTGGAAAAGCCCCTCCCTGGGTTGGAATCAGGGCCTGGGGGCTCCCAGACTCCCTGAGAATCCCCCCCCCCCCCCCCGCCCTCTTGGGGGCCTGCCCTGAGGCTGGGGGAGGTGGGGGCACAGTCTTGCTTCCTTGGAGAAGCTCAGGCTCCTGGGATAGAAGGTCTCACTCAACCACAGAATCCTTATTCTGGGGGCGACTCTTGGAAAGTCGCACCTTGGCTCCACCTGAAATTCCCGCTGAGCAGCTGACAGGTGATGGAAGGTGCCGGATCGGGGCTGCCTGGTGGGAAAAGCAATGGGCCAGTTTTGGGGGGGGGTGTTAGATGAGGGCTTGATGGCACCTGAACCTCGAAACTGAGTTCCGTGGAGGATCTGCCGTTCGGCTGCAGAGCTTGTGAAGCTCAAATGATGCATTCGGTTGCGGTTAGTTGTCGACCTTTTCGTGCAGCTTTTCCTGCGGTTCCTTGAGTGGCTTTGCCAGCTCGGCCCCTGCAATTTGTGAAAGTGTGATTTACTTAAGCAGGTTGTGGGTACCCAGCTGACTGAGGAATTCTGGGAGCTGAAGTCCACAAGCCTTAAAGTGGCCAAAGTTGCAGACCCATGCCCCGGAGGGTTGTTTTTTTTCCGCCAGCAAGCCATGCTTCTATCAACCATGGCTTAAATGCAGCCAGCTGAATAAACAATGCAAAAGGGTTGGGGGGGGGGAAGGTTGTTTGAACACACCTTGATGTCTCTGGAACAGTTGCGGCGTCCTGGAGGAGGGGCCCCCTCCCAGCCAGCTTCTGTCAAGCAAACGGGGGAAGCCGG